ACGCCGGAGACTGGTGTTGACCGCCGGTTAAAGCCGGAATCCGGAAAAAAAATCCGGAAGGAAAAAAAAAAAAAAAAAAAAATTTTAAAAAGTCAACGCCGGAGACCGGCGTTGACCGCCGGTCAACGCCGGAATCCGGCGGCAAAAAAAAGTTTTTGAAAAAAAAAAATTTTTGAAAAAAAAAAAAAATTTTGGGTCAAAATTTAATAATTTGTGAAATTTGGGGTCAAATTGAGATTAAATTAAGTTAAGGATGAAATTGGAGCATATTAAATTATACTCCAAAAAAAAGTCAAAATTGAATTTTTGTGGTCAAAATTGAACTTTTATGGACAAAATTGATTAATTTGGATTACAATTAAGAATTGGGTATAAATGATTGAGGGTAATATTGGGATATACATGAATGTTTCCTTTAGTTATAATAAATATTAAAGGGATGAGCTTATTGGTGAAAGAGATATGTCCCCTATACCTAGAATAATAAACATGCTTGGTTGGGGACTTTTGCATAAAAATCCCTTTATATATTGTAGCTGGATGAAAATATTAAGTAAAAATATTTGGAAGAAAATATGATTTTAAGATAACTTGACAACGGAATAGTTGAATGATTTTTTTCGTAAAAAAATATAAATTTTAAATATGTTGATGAAATGTATTTTAATTTTTGAACTTTATAGTTTCAAAATGATTGATGAATAAAAAAATATTTGACATTTGGCATCCTAAAATATATCACTAAAAATATTAAATTACAATTTTTAGCTTTAAAAAATCATTTGGGGTGCACTATGCATGATTTATTGTGTTTCGAGGGTGCAAAGTGCTACTAATTTGTTTCGAGGGTGCAAAATGCCAAAATAGTATATTTAACATCCATTATAATTTGTACTTACCAATAATATATTATATTAAAAGACGTGAAATGCTTTTACGGTTTGAAAATTGCTATTTAGCATTCATAACAGAAAACTTTTATCTCTCTAAAACCCCAAACCTCCCAAAAAACCCCCAATATGCAAATAGCAAAAAAAAAAAAGGTTTCGAAATCAAACTTGAAGAAGAATTGGGCTTCGATTTTTTGAGATAATTTCGACTCCTTTATGTGTAATATGCATTGGGTATGTCGATTACGGAACCAATTTCATGTAAAAAGCCCTACAAATCAATTTGTAGGGCTTTTTTTTTTGCACATACACCCACGAACGCCCAAGACGGGCGCCCACGGCGTGTACGAACGCCCGCCGTTCCGGTCGTTTGTACACACCGTGGGAGGCGCCTTGGGCGTTTAATTCAGCTGCCTTGAATGATAAATAGCAATTTTCAAACCGTAAAAAAAGACGTATCTTTTAACATTCAAAGTAAGAATCAAGATGAAATAATAACACAATTATTTTGTGTGGGAGGTAATTAAATAGGGAGGCATGTTTACTGCTGTTCAACCATAAAAGGTAAAAGGAAAAATCAGAATAGACAAGCATCAAACATGAAGCATGAGCACCCCTATGTAATTAAAACAACTGGTGTCAGACAAAATACAGTCACTATTTGACTCAATTTCTTTCTATTACTTAATTAGTGCAAAGTGAAGTTTTAATTCATTTCAAGCATCCTATGCAGTTTAATTTCTTTGAATCACTTCAACTATTTTTTGAGCTTGAGTCCTTGCATTTTTTATTTTTTATTTTTTACTTTTTGTATTAATGTTATTAGTTTTTATTATTCAATGATTTATATTTCAATAAACAAATTACAGTGAACCTAATTTTTTTTTATTTTGATTTTTATGTGTATTAATTATATTATTATTATTATTATTATTATTATTATCATCGTCATATTCTATATTATTATATTCATATTTATATAATAAGAAAAAAAATGTTTGTAATCTCATGAACAACTAAGAAAAAGTCGAACTGAAACTCGAGTTCAAACAATTTGAGCTCAATTTCGAACTTTTTTTGAACCAGCTCACGAGACGGTCCATCTCATTTAGACCCCTAGACGAAACCAGCAAAAAGTTGAATGTCAAAAGTGTTCAAACAAAACATAATATAAATCTGAGTTAATTCATTATTTAACTTAAAAAATAAGTTTGTTAATCTATTATTAAGCATCGATTCTAGGAAACAAAAAAACACGACTGGGCTGGTGTCATAAGCTGGCTCAACTCATTTATTCTTCTCCTTATGTAGTTTCATATTTTTGTTTTATTATGCTTTACCATGTGAATTATATTGATTTATATTATATAAATCCCCCTTTTGTTTGTATAGTTACATCTACCCCCTCAACTGTGATTTTTTTCTACACTTCCACCTTTATGGTGTCAAATTCAACATAATTATCTAGATTCCGTGAAATGTGCTCTAGTTTGTATTCATTTTGTATAAAAATACAGTTTTCAATGCACCACAAACTGATATATAAAAGCTAAAAATCACATATTATGATCATCTTACTTCATAATGTAGAGTTTGAATGAGATAAAAAGGGTACAAAATTGATAATATTCCATATAATCTCGAAGATTCCACTAAATTTGAGGAGTTGAAGGGTGGTTGTAATTATCCAAACAAGGGGGGTGTTTTTATAATTTGACCATACCTCAGGGGTGTTTGTAATTTACCCTGTATATTATAATATGTGCGACTTTGTGTAAATGAAAAAAAAATCAAGCAATATATATCATGTGATATATCATCTGCAAGACCGGAAATCGAAACTTCCTATTTCCATCATTTCCCTCAAACTATTCAAATTTTCCCCTCTCTCTCTCTCTTCACTCTCCCTCTCTCTCTCTAGATAAAACAAATACATACAATCTCCTGTCTCTATCGAACGCACACACCTCCACGGTTGGATTCTCATTCATTCCAACTCGCGTTCCAATAAATCTATCCTCTCTCAGCTTTTACAAACCCCTGTCGCCGTCACTCGATCCTCGAACGATTTTCCTTTTCCATTCTGCAGAAGGAACAATTTTTTTTTTTTTTTTTTCTGAATGCGCATTGCATGGTGGAGGTGGTGGTGTGTATAGGAATTCGAAAAAAAAAAAAATCAAAAAAAAAATGGAAGAACAAATCATGGCGGAGTACGACGATGACTACACTTTCACGGTGTATGAGGTTGATCTCGACTACGAATTCGACGCCGCCCGCTTCTTCGATTTCAGCCGAGCCGAATCGCCTCTGGAGCTGCGCCTGGCCGAATTCTGGTTCAGCTCCGCCGCCAGCTACCCCGATTCTCGTAGTTTTTCCCTCTCCTAATTTTTTTCTAATTTTCAGAGTTGAATACGTTACCTTGCTCTGTAAAAATTAATATCCGCAAAAAAAAATTATTTCTCCTTTCACTAATTTTTAAGATGTCCTGCTCTAGTGGTAAATCTATTTTTTTTTGGTGGTGAAAAGTGTGCTTTTGGTACTTTAATGACAGTGGTTGGTTATATTTTGCTGCCGCCGTAGAATTTTTTTGTTTGTTTGTTTGATGGAATGATTGTGAATTGCGATTTTGCATTGATGCAATTTATGTGTGACATAATTTAAATTTAAGAGTGGTATAATCTGCTATATGTGTACATGTGCAAGTCTAGGTATTGTTCGTGTTAGTCGACACATTTCGATTGCTAGAACATTGCTCATGATCTAATTCGTATGATGTTCAATGTTCCGTCGTTGTTACTTTTACGTCGTTAAATCTACAAGCTGTAGGCAATTTTATTTTCAGCGTTTGTGTCCAAGCTAGTTTCAAGGGAGGATGAAAACCCGATGGAAAATATCAACACCTCCCCAAAATCTAAAGGCGCGGATGACGACATGGACTTATTGGAGAATTCAGATATCGAGGTGGACGAAGAAATTTCCGCTGCGGGGATGAATTACAGAGGTTCGACTAATTATACGCATTTTCAAATTGACTTCAATTCGTGCAGCTTTTTTCGTTTTTCACTATCTTTGTAATAATGTTTATGTTTCCGTTTGTCGTGATATAATCTATGCAGGCTTTACATTTGTGGCGAATAATGTTAACTCAAAACCGAAACAGAAGTTGTCCGTGAAGCCATCTTTCTCTAGGACGTCAACTCTTATGAAACCGACAGCGAGTCAATTGGCCAAGCAAAGACATCCTCTTGAGAGTCGTTATTCTAGGTGATTATTCTTTCTTAATTCAAATGTATTAACTAAATGTCAATAGTGCTTCAGATTTCTTTCTGTTTTAGGACACAGAATTATTTAGTTCGTCGAGCTTTCCTTTGCCAGAAAGAAGAACATTTATTTTGTTACGCGACTATAACTAGGTCTTCTGTAATCTAATTAATTAGTAAACAGTTTGTTCGTTATATAGCTGGTCCACCGAATTTTTTTTCTGTTTGCACAACACATGATCTCTGTTTCTTCAAATACTAGGTCACACAGGTCGGTTTCGGAGAAAGCAAATAAGAGCTCAAGTAGTGTTTGTGACACTGTGAATCAAGCTGCAAAAAGACAAAAGCTCGAGGGTGGTCTTCTGATGAAGGTATAGTTGTCTGTTTTATTTATCCTTTTCATTTGTGTTGGAAATCTTCAACATGTCGATTCTTCTGCAGTAACTAGGTAGTGGGGCTTTTGCAACTTAGAGTGACTATATTATCATATGAAGCTAAAGTGATTCTGGTTTTGCTTTTGAAAGAAACTTTCCGGCACCGGTGACTTAAACTATTCCAGTGCTGCACTCGTGATTAGTGCTGTCATTGTAGCTTATTTCCTTTGTCACTCTAATCTGTTGCTACTTTCACATGATGTTTAATATACGAGTATTGTAATTGTCTTATTGTTCTTGTTACAATCTAATAAGATTCAATTTTGGCATTTCTCGCTCTTATCGTGCTGTTTTCGTGTAGATATATAGGTAAGTAAGATCTATATACGAGTTTGCTTTGTCTTATTATTATTTCCATGCAACAGGTCGAGGGGGCACAACAACTGCAGCAAACTAATTTTGTCCATAAGACGCCTAAGCGGGTGCGTGAATTGCATTTAGATACATAATCGCACCACCTTAAAAGTGAATCTGAATTATGCAGATAACTTAAATTTTCCCTCTGGGAATTGCTTGTAAAGAACGGCATAAGTGTAAAATATGCATTTGAAATGTTCTTTTGATGTTGTTTTCTGGAACTAATGATGCTATTAACAGAGCAACCGAATAAATGGGTTATACGATTTGAAAGTTTATTGCATAGACGTGGAATAAGTTCTTAACATTTTGACAGGATGGACTACTTGTTGGAAGCACACCTCATACCATACCAAGGATAACTACTCCTATAGAGCCAGAACTTAAAACGGCACACAGGGCTCAACGGACAAGGTTTGTTTGTTCCACTCCAGTATCTGTTGTATTCTTATATTACCACAGATTCATGTTAGAATTTCCTGCGTGATTGTTGCACACAGGCCAAAAAGTAATATAGAAGCTGAGAATGTGGCATCAGTTGTTCGTAAATTCAAAGCTCGTCCATTGAATAGAAAAGTTAGTAACCGTACTATGTTAAATGACACTGATCTACCTTTAAATTTTAGTCGAGATATGGATCTAACTCCTGTATTTTAAGATACTTGAAGCGCCTCCATTGTTTCCAAAGAGAAGCACTCCTCATTTACCTGATTTTCAAGTGAGTGCATTTACGAAGAGGTTTTAGTCCAGAACATTTTTGATTGAACTGACTGACAGTGCGGAATTTTACTCGGTGAATTTGATATCAGGAATTTCACTTGAAGACGTCAGAGAGAGCCATTCAACACCGCGCAGCAGTCCCTTCTGATAACGATGATAAGGTTAGTAAAAGATACTTCGAATATCACAATTGTTTTAACAACTTTAGGAAGAAGTGATCATTTCCAATAAGAGACGAGAGTAGCTAGAATTGACTCATTGTGATTGACATGACTCTTTATTTTGTTCTCTCCTGCTTTGGTCGTGGGACTTTTTACGACACAATGATTTATAAACTTCATGGATAATAGTTACATATGCTTTTAGTAATGCCCTGTTGCCTTGTTGTTATCTTGTTGCAGGCCTTGCGGAAATATGCCACTAATATAACCTCCGGGGATGGAAATAGAGGAACTCCAAGGTAATTAACTTGCTTATATATATGTTCTTAATGCAACAAATTCCTTATTTTCAATCTCTGATCATCATTTGCCCATCTCGCGGGTTCTTATACGGCTCAGTTCTGCTATGAAATTGGACCTTCCACCTTTTTTTGCTCGTAATTATTGTAGCTTTACATTACAGTTTTTGTGTTTTGTATGTGCAAACATTTTAATCCATCCTTCATCAGAAAATGATTGCTCGTTTAACCCTTTTTAAATCATTGCAATTTCCCTCGGTGGACTTGGCTAAGAAAATTTTATTTGTCAGAAGCAGCGAAAATGTTGCTACGAGGCCGGATGATTTTGGGTCATCTCGTACCTTCAAAACTCTTTCCCTCAATAAGAAGGTAGCATTATTTAATTAATTTCTTATCTAAAAACTTGTTCAATTATTTAAAAAGTAGCCATGGGTTATTTTTCAACGAAGATACTGGGAAACAAGGTGATAACAGTACCAATGGTAGTTGACATTTAAAAAAAAAAATCCAAATATCGTTATTTTAGTGAATTGATTTAGTAACTCGGTATTGTATTGCCTATTGCACAGCCGTTCATTTACCAGATGGAGAAGAAGTCTCGTAACAATCCACCAACTGAACTTTTCAGCAAGGTAAATTACCTATACGTGTCTGCTCGCTGGATCATCAATATTATGATTTTGTGAAACTGCTGCGATAAGTGCTTCTTCGTTATCCGTAGTCAATTTAGTGTAGCAGCTCACAATCTCATTCCTTTTTAAAACGCATTATGTAATGTATGATGTATGTTCTCTCTTTTCCTCAACTAGCTTTCTCTGGCATCCGATACACAAGAAATTCCTAATTTCGAGTCAAAGTTGCCACGGTCCATCATCTTATCCATGGAGGTTTCTTTATATTCTTTTAATCATTTTTAAGAGGATTAATATTGTTATATGAATGTTTTGATGAATTAACTGATTTCTTACAAGGGCTCAAAAGAGAATAGGTGGTGATCATATTCATGGGGGTTCCTCCCACGAAGACATGCACCGAGGTAAAATAGGATGTCTCGTTTTATGTTTTATTCAATAATCTTTCGCTGGATTAGTTAAACTGTTAAACTCGTTTAACAGCCGCATAATTTATTTTTTCTTTTTTTTTTTAATCTAAAAAAGAGAAAAACATTGATAGAGAGGGAAAAATAAACTGCTTACATATGCAGGAGTGAGGACGGTGCTTGTGAAGCCGAAAAGCGAAATTTGTCGATAACCGCCACAGTAAATGAAGCTCTTTTCGAACACTGAAACTAACTATAGAAATAGATTATAGCAACAAAAAATCTAATCTTTGCTTCTAGTAAAATGTCTCAAGCCAGAATGTATATAAAAATATCAAGAGTATATTCTCCATGGTACAAATATTACTTCCAATTTCGTCCCTGTTACAAATATTACTTGCAATTTAGTCCTTTTTCTTTTCCTTATTGTTTATCAGCCTCTGTATCCTTATCTGGAGAATTGTGCTTTCGTATGCTTGTAACAAGCGACAGCGGTGACTGTTTAGTCCAGCGTTTTAAATCATAGGCCGCCTTTTTGAAAGGCTTCTTGTCCTTGCCGAGTTTCCTCTTTGTGATGGCTATGGCGAGATCGTTCGGGAAGAGTGTGCACCACACGAAAGCATGGAGAAGCGTGGAGACTAATAGTATGGACACCATTGTTGATGACATTAAAGAAAGTGCTAAAGCCAGGCATTTACTTATTACTGTCGGAACTTGCTCCGCGTATTTGATGCTCGCTATCGATGCTGTTGTCATCGGAAATGTGTAAGACCACCACGCCACCGAGAACCTATCATACGAAGTAGTATATAGTATATACTAGTGATTAATTAAGATATAATATAAGAATTAATTACATATGAGAGCTAGGTTTGTATGATAATATATTATTGGGTAAATTACAACCACCCCTGACGTATGATCAAATTACAAAAAAACCCCTCTTGTTTGGACAATTACATCTACCCAACTATGAATTTTCTTACAGCTCCACTTATGGTATCAAATTCAACATAATCATCTAGATTCCGTGGAATGTTTCTAGTTTGTACTCATTTTGTGTAAATATACAGCACCACAATGTGATATATACAAGCCAAAAAACACATCTTATGATCATCTTGCTTCAAAATGTGGAGCTCCAATGGGATAAAACGGGTACAAAATTGAGAATATTTCATATAATCTAGAAGATTCCACTAAATTTGAGACCGCAAGAGTGGACGTGTAAGAAGATTTATAGTTGAGAGGGTTGGTTGTAATTATCCAAGGGGTTATTCGTAATTTGACCATACCTCAGGTAGTTGTAATTTACCCTATATTATTATTATCATAAAATTGGAAATTTTCAAATTTATTGTTTTTGAAAAAAAAACAGAGAAGAATAGGGAGAGAGATATTACTTGAATCCCCTGAAGAAGTTGATGCGCACAATGAGGGAGCAATAGAGAAACAAGGCAATAAAGTAGCAAGTCCTCGACAGCCCGTCGAACTCCCCGTAAATAGCCCCCCATGCGATGCTCGCCGCGGCCGGAGTCGCAATAAACATACAGTACACAGGGTGGAGCTCCTTCGGCAGCGCCTCACTCGTCGGCAATCTCTGGTACAATGTCACAAACACCACCATATAGTGCGCGAAACCCACCGCCCACATAAACTTCCCCGCCTCCAACCACCCGACCTGCGCCGCCAGTATTGCCCCGACGAAGTTCCCCACCACGGAGAGATGCGATGACGGGTTCGCCACCTTGGACAAACGCCGCTTCCCGCCGGAGAGCCACTGGCCGTAGATCTTGAGGTCGAGGAAGATGATGGGGCCCGCGAAGGCGCACCATAAGGCCGGGTGGAGGCGATCCTGTGCGATGCAGGGCGGGACACCTATGGCGAGGAACATGCACACGATCCAAGGGGCGAAGAAGAAGTTGACACGTATGGGGTGGAAGTACTCCCTCTTGACGGCTTCGAAGTAGAAGGCGCATTTTAGCGCGTAGGTGGTGAAAACTGCGACGAATACGCCGAGGGCGAGTAGCCAGATGGCGAGGTTGACGATGGGAGTGACGTGTAGGAATTTGGTGGCTCGGCTTGTGGAGAGGGCGCGCCAGAGGATGGCTTGGCTGCTCAAGCCGAGACATATGCCGAAGCAGCCGATTGGGAAACGGAGAAGGAACGGCCATTTCTCGTCCTTCGGAAGAAGTATGTCTTCCGAATCCTGCACCACGTTAATTTAATTAAAGAAATAGTATAGGTTAGTTATAAGTATACCATGCTCGGTTGAACAAAATTCGAATTAGCTCAGGCACATAATTAAATAAAATATTCAAATCAAATTCAAATCGGAAAGACTCGATTTTTGCAAAAATCCAAACACGTAACGTTAATATCATTTTTTCATATTTTTTCAACAAAACATGTTGGTTTTTTTACGGTTCGGTGCTAATCGATTTTTCAGTTTTTGATTAACTTTTTCAGTATCAATTCGGTTTATTTTCAGTTTCGGTTTCGTCTATCGAATTCGGCAAAAAATGATATATGATAGATTAACAAATAATAACACGCCATAACCCAAAATTGCCCAAAACTTCAGCACCGAAATCTAGGGGAAGACAAGGAAGTTAAATGTTTATAACGACGTTGTTTTAATTTGTACTCTAATCGGTTCGGTTTGGTAATTGGTTCGGTGTTTTTCTGTATTCTGCATACGCAAACTGATGTTTTCGGTTTTTCAGAAAAAAACATTACCATAGATGCGGTTTTTATGTCCGGTTGGTGCACATCGCCTCAATTTTTTCGGTTTTCAGTATGTTTGCTCACCCCTAGATCTTATAATTTGATTATTGTTAAAAAATTTGAAGTTTTAACTATTCTAATTAACAAGGGACTATTAGTTTAAAAATATTCTAGCTAGTAATTTTTTTCTTGATAAGAAATCATTTCTTTATAATAAAAAATAATTTCAATTCCAATCCTAAAAGAATATGAAAATATTCAAAAATCAAAAGTTTAAACGTCGGAAAAATTTAAAATATTAATAATAAACTTAAAAGTTTTCAGAATAATGTACAAAAAAGTACTAAATCCGTCACATTTGAAATTGGAACACTATATATATATATATATATATATAATCAAAATCGAAACTTTTTAGATTGAAATCGACCGGCCGGGTTCGAGATTTCGATGGAGTACAACGTACCTTGACTTGGTCAAGTTCAGGTCCGGTGAGAGCAGCAAAGTATCTACCAGCAGGAACACTTTTGTTAACAGAATCTTCATCTTCATTATCATTATCAACCCTACGAGACGACGACGAAACATCGTTAATATACTGATCAACAAGGATTCCACTCTCCTTTTTAATCAATGGCAGCTTCGAGTTCTGCCTAACGAGACTTGATTTCGTTCTAAACATGCTAAAATCCCCTTTCTTTCCACCACCTTCCGCTCCAACACCACCAACACCGCTTCTATGAAGAGAACCGAATCCTCCGAAACTGTTCCCACTTCTCGGCAGTACTCCTTTCCTCTCCGTCTTGTCTCCGTTCAGCGCCGAAAACCCCGTTTCCAGCGAAACTTGCCGGCTAAAACTACTGTTGTTAGGTCTTTTCATCTCTCGTATTTTAATCGGTTTGTTAAAACGTTTATTATTATTAGTAGCCATTTTCGTGGGCTTGTTTTCTTCGCGTGCTTCTTCTTCATCTTCTTCTTCTTCTTCGGGTACTTCGTGGATATCCACGAAATGGGTTCCGCCCGGAGATCTTCTAGAAGTTTCTCTCATTTCCATTTCTTTCGAATTATTATGCTTCATCACTGCACTTTTTTTTTTTGTTATTTTTTTTGTTTTTGTTCTAACAACTTCCAAAGCTAATGAGACTGATCATGAGTTAGGGCAGTCTAGGGCAATATTAATATCACATGATGTAATATTTATGCTTTTGAAAAAGGGCCTAAAGGGGATCACGAGAATGCAGTAACATTAAAAACTTTGAAGTTTGGTGGTGGTTGTTTCAATTTGTTTGGTATAGTTTTACGACCACCCCTGAGGTAATGTCAAATTCTAAAAAAACACCTCCTGTTTGGGTAATTCCAACTATCCATCAATTATGAATCTTCTTACACGTCTATCCTTACGGTGTCAAATTTAGTGGAATTAATTTTCTAGATCATGTGGAATATTATCCAATTTGTACCCGTTTTATCCCATTCGAGCTCCACATTTTGAAACAAGATGATCATAATATATGTGTCTCTTGGCTTGTAAATATCGGATTGTGGTGCATCATAAACTGCATTTTTGCCCAATACGAGTATAAACTAGAGAACATTCCATGGAATCTAGAAGATTATGTTGGATTTGACACCATAAGGATAGACGTGTAAGAAGATTCATAGTTGATGAATGGTTGTAATTACCTAAACATGAGAGTTTTCTTTCGTAATTTAACATTATCTCAGGGAGTGGTCATAATTTACCCTATTATATCATAATAGTATAATTATGAACTGAAATGAAAAGTTTTTTCTTGTTGCATATATAGGTTGGGTTTGTTAAAAAGTTATGTCTCGTGAATTTAGATAGCAATTTGTGGTTCAAAAAAGCATGCATGCATGGGATCGCAGATTTAGGGTTTTGATCATGTACTGATGATGACCAACCAGCTGGCATGATGGTTCAGTTTTTTCTGTAATAAAAAGTTGAAGATGGTGATTGTTGTGAGAATTTCACGGGTTTGAAATCAAAGAAAGCAAGGTTAGGCTCTCAAAGTCAACATTGTCTGAAAATTTGTGGCCAATTCAATATAGTTCTGAATAAGTGATGGAAATTGGACGCAATAAATTGAAAATGATTCTAAAAAAAATATTCCAATTCTTTTTTAAGTTAAAAATAGGTTCTAATTTTCGTTAAAAAAAATCGGAATGCAAAAATTCATCCCGATTTTGGAATGCCTCGGAAACGGTGAAATTTTGGAAATTTAATTAGTTTATAATCTGTTGTTCCAAATTTGGATACAATGTGAATTTTCACAATTTTTTTCCATCTTTTTCGAAATTTTGCGGGAAAAATGGAAGAAAATTCAAAAGAGGGAAACACAACAAATAAAGGGCGAATGACAAATAGTCCCATGACAAGGGAATTAAATACACATAGGTCTAGACAAAAAAACAGTCTTGCACATAAGCCCATTCCCATGTCTTTTGTCTAAAATACCCTTCATAATATAACTTTTATTAATTCCATCAATTATACTCTAACTTCCTCAACAGTACACATTGACGTCAGATTTGAACAAATATATCACATTAATCCTCATTTTCATAATTTTTTGAAAATATATATTTTTTTTTCAGAAAATATTTTTTTTTCTGAATTTTTTTGCCCGACCAGATTCCGGCGTTGACTTTTATTTTTTATTTTTTAACCTTTTTTTTCTGAAACTTTTTTCGGCCATTGACTTTTTTTCAAAAACAAAATTATTGTCTGAGATAGTAATATGAAATACCATAACAGTAATATTACTGTCCCGAACACTAATAATATTATTATCCCGAACAGTAATATTATGAATATTACTTTTTCGAACAACAATATTACTAATATTACTGTCCCAAAGGATAATATTATTGCATGAGACAATGATATAACGGTCGGAGATAATAATATTACGGTCGAAGGCAGCAAAATTGCAGGCCAAGACGATAAACTTAATTAATACAGTAAAATTACTGTCTGAGACAGTTAAATTACTGTCTCCGACAGTTAAATTACTGTTGGAGACAGTAATTTAGCAGCCAAGACAGTAATATTAATTGAAATAATTTTTTTAAAGAAAAAACTAGTTTTTTAAAAAAAAAAAGTCAACGCCGGAGACCGCCGGTCTCCGATGGGTCAAAATTGGTTAATTGGTGAAATTGGGCTAAATTGGGGTGTAAATCATGAAATTGGAGTTGAATTACGGGTTTGAAGGAATTTAGGGTAATTTTGGTATGTATAAAAGAGTTTTCCTTATTTGCAAATAAGTTTGAATGAACTGGATTTATTTGGAAGACAAAAAAGTTGGATGTCCATTTTCTAATTAAGTACCGTTGTAACGGGCCTATTTGCCATTTACCCTAAAACCACATGCAAGAGGGTAAAATTCATTTTCGTCCCTGACCTTTGCATTCAAAAGCAAAATCATTCCTGTGGTTTTAATGTCCTTCAATTTCGTCCCTACAAACCAATTAATCCGCCAAAATTCACTTTTTTTCATAAAATCCCCACACTACCCTTGTAAATAAGCGTGGTTTTGTTAGGGTTTTATTCCTCTCTTTACAGCCTCTGTTTTTCCCAATCATGAGAGCAAATCCCCAAATACCTTGAAAAAAAAATTCCCCGTCAAAAATTTCAGAAGAAAATATTGTAGCTTCATAGCAAATTGTCTACACCCCTCCATTTCGACACTTCATAGGTAAGATTTGCTTTGATTTTCAGGTTCTATCCTTTTATGTCAGTTGGTTCATAAGTGATATAAATGAGATTTTTTTGCATATTATTACTATTTTCTCGTTCTATATGAACGTGATATGATAAATACATAATCTTAATCTATTTACTGCAGAAAATGCGATTTAATTTGGGTATTAGTTTTTTGGGAAAAAAGCTATTCTCTGCGGAATTTGGAAAGCAATGGCTATGACTACTTATCTTTGTTAAGTGATGTTTGTGGGACTGCAACAGGGCATAGAAAAAAATGGTTGAGTGAATTGGTAGTAGTAGAAGGTGTTTTGCCTGATACAGGAGATAAATTTGCAATCCACAGTGATGAAGACATAAGCAATTTAATTGGAGTATATATTGCTTTAGGATTGGAGGATGTTGCTGTTTGTTTAAGTGTAAGCAAAAATCTATGTGCCACATATTTGGTTGATGCTGAAAATATTGGTGGTAGCTCTAGTGCCACACAAATTGAAGAGTCTGGCCTTATTCTAGCAAACATCGTGGAGACTAACGAGTCAGATGAAGAGTGAAACATTGACATTGAAGAAATTGCTGAATGGAGTGATTCTGAATTCGAGAAAGATGATGGGCATGCTGATGCAGGTGATGAGAGAGCTCCTATTTATTATGAATCCGATTCAGAGAGTGATGATTTGAGTGACTACAACTCAGATATGGACCAATCAGTTTACCATAATGATGAAGATTTGCAAGTTATGGTTCCAGTAGCACCTTTGAGTGATGCCATGGAAGGTGAATACTTTGAACTAAATAAAGATTTAAATGGCAATCAGATTGTGGTGCTAAAGGAAGGGCAAATATTTGACAATGTTCAGCATTTTAAGGAGATTCTTGCCAAATACACAATACAAGAAAGTATTGTTTTGAAAAAACTCAAGAATGATAAGGTGAGAGTCACTGTAACTTGCATTACTGATAAAGACTGTGATTGGAGACTACAGGCATCTACCTATGGTGATGGAGTAACATTCAAGATAAAAAATATAAAAGAAATTCATACTTGTGTCAGAAAACTGAAGTGTAGTGGAGCAACAGCTAAATGGATTGCAGCTGAGTTCAAAGAAGAATACAAGAGTAATCCAAACAAATCAGTAGAGGAACTTGACAATGCTTTAAGGTCAAAGTTTGGAGTCCATGCTAATACAAGCAAATTGTTCAAGGCAAGAAATATTGCAATGCAAGCAGCCTTAGGAGATCATGAAACTAGCTATGCTAATATTCCAAGATATATTGCTGCACTCAAGGAATCAAATAATGGAGCTTTTGTGAAAGTGAAGTGTCAAGGTTTGGACATTACCAATCCACATTGTAGCCCACAGTTTGGGAGACTTTTTATAAGTTTTGAAGCACAATATAAGGGTTATATCCAAGGTTGTAGACCTTATATTGGAGTTGATGGATGTTTTGTAAAAGGGCCATTCAAAGCTGAATTATTTACTGCAGTAACCTTAGATGCCAATTCTGGAATTTTTCCTATAGCAGGTATTAGTTTTAATATACTTAATTTATGTATTATTTGTTTAATTTACTTTACATTGACTTTAATTATGTATTTATTTATTTTTGTTCAATTCCAGTCATGATTTGTGAAGGAGAAAGTGAAGACAATTGGAATTACTTCTTTGATTGCCTGAGTACTTACTTGCAAGATCAGAGGGTTATCACTTTCATGAGTGATAGACAAAAGGGATTGAAGAAAGCAGTGAAGTCCATTTTTTCAGTCTTAAGACAGAGATATTGTGCAAGGCATTTATATGCAAATTTCAGAGCCAAATTTCGAGGCCCTAAATTAAGAAAACTCTTTTGGATTGCTGTGAATGCTTATACAGAATAAGACTTTCAAGATGCAATGAACTCAATCAAAGGAGCTGATTTTGGAGCACACAAGTGGTTGATAGAAACTTGTAAAGAAGACCCAAGTACTTGGTCAAAATATAGATTTGATGGAATTACAAAGGTTGATCATGTTACAAATAACATGACAGAATCATTCAACGCTTGGATGGG